ATAAAAGCAATAATTTGAAAGAATAAAATATCAATACATTTTAACCTGTGGTCGGCAAACGGATCTTATTTTTAGAACAATTGGATTTAGTACTCTTTTAGTAGTCCTTATTTTTAAAACTTAATCCGTTATGAATTTTAGTCAATCAGAAAATTTTGTTAATTTTCAGTCAAAATCCTTGTGTTTTCTTACAGATTACTATTTTAAACATAAAATAGATACACATTCTTTGTTTAAAACTGTTTATGGATTCAATATTTCATCTGGTTTTGATAAAATTTCGCGTTTTCTTTTTAAAATATTTTTCGTCAAAATGTAAACAAACATGAAGGAAAAAATTATTTTGAGAAATCCCAAAGTCTAGTGAATTAAGCTACTTAATGCTAATTTTTTGAATATCAAAATGTTTACTGACCCAAAAAGGCTATGAAATAAACTAAGTACTATATTATTTAATAGCAAAATGACTTAAAAACTACAAAACAAATTATGATTAAATAACGTTTTTCCTGAATTTAAATTTTACCGCCCGAAATGTTTAAAAATTCAAATTCAAATCTTTAAAGTTTCAACTGATTTTATAAGCTCTTTGCCGACCACAGATTTTAATGTATTTTTCAAATTTAAATTGAACAGGGGAGTATCAACTTTTCAGATGCTCCCCTACAAGAAAAAATACCGCAAAAAACAAAAAATTTTACCGCAAAAAATAGAATGGATTTCTACATCAAATAAATCGCGATTTTAAAGAAATATAACTAAGTTTATGAGGATTTTGTTACTAAATTATAAAAAGCATAGTTTAATTTATGGTTTAAACCCGCTTTTAAGTAAAAAGTCGCAAAAGAAATGATGGAAAATAAGCTCTAAAAAAGGCATCAAAAATTAACTGTTTCACCTGCAATTTTAAATCATATAAATTTAATTAAATAAAGCATGCACTATGGGGCAAAATTGAAAAAAAGGGACTTTCACTTTGATTTTGAGACTTTTCCGAATTACGTTCTCAAGTGAATTTTTTCTTGTAGAGTACATAAAACCTGACTTCTATGCCAAATTTCAAGTCATTTGGTGCTGTTCCTGCAATTTTATGGCTGTTTGAAGTCGGAAAATAGCAAAAAAACAGATTTTTTCAGTCCAACTTTGAAGTCAAAACTCTTTGCAACGGTTAATTAAAATAAAAAACGGGTTTCAGTTTCAAGTAGTCCTATATAAGAACTATATTTTGTGAAGTACATAATTTTTTTCGATTAAATTTTTGTACTCATTTGCTAGTAAATGTATGAAAATTCTAGGAAAAATATCTTCAAACACGCCGCAACTATCTTAGATGACGACTACTTAAGGGGTAAAACCATATCATCATAAAGTCCTTGATTTCTAGTTTTCAAAACTGTATAAACATTAAAATTTGACCGGTACACTTTTGAGATAAATTGATTTTAGTAAGCCGTTGAATGTTTGATCAAAATCAAAAATTTCTCATAAAAATTACAAAACAATAATTATAAATATTTTTTTTAATGTTTTCTAATAGAAAATGACATTTAAAAACAGCATGCAAAGAAATTTTTTCAAAAAGTTTAAAATATGTCGATATATTGGGTACATTTGATATCTGACGACTTGTATGGTTTTCCCACCACTTAAAACGCTCCAGTTTTAAGAAAACAAAATATTTTTAAAATCTGTTTTCAGTTTGTTATAGTTCAAGTCAAGATCTTTTCAACGATATAAAATACTTGATGGTTGGATATGATCTTAGTCATGATTATGTGCCTTGTTTGTGAGCGACCCCAAACTGAGAAAAATATCAAAAACGTCATTTGTAGAAATATGACTTAGATACAAATTTAAGTATTGATTTGTGGTTTTTTATGATGATTTATGATAGTTATGACTATTAAAACTCAAAAATTAGCATTTCATAAACTTTTTGCTATCTCAGGTAGCTTTTAAGGTTCGACCCTAGTAGTCTCTATTGGACCTGAAAATCTAAAAGATTAGATTATGTTTCAGAGTTTTATTGATTGATATTTCATATTGGAACATATTTAAGTCAAAATACATTACTTTTAGATAGATTTTATGGGTAAATTTTTGATTTTGGCTATTTTATTGATTTATAGCTAGCGTCGGTCACATTCAAACAACTCCAGGAGCAACTTTAATGAACTTTTGATGAATTGATATACATCATTACAAAGGTATTTACATCAGCTAGCAATAAAAGAAAACAGGATGCAAAAATATTGATTCTGAAAAAAATTAGGGTCATTTGAGTAGATCAAAAAGTACACAAAACCGCAACCAGCATAGGCAAAACTACAAAAACTGAAAAATTTCTTGCTTATTTTGCCAAGTTTTAACTATTTTGTGATAAGAATATCATTTAAAACTTCTTTTAATCCTTTGTGTTAAAAATAAGTAAGAATTTTTCAGTTTTTGTAGTTTTGCCTATGCTGCTTGCGGTTTTGTGTACTTTTTGATCTACTCAAATGACCCTAATTTTTTTCAGAATCAATATTTTTGCATCCTGTTTTCTTTTATTGCTAGCTGATGTCAATACCTTTGTAATGATGTATATCAATTCATCAAAAGTTCATTAAAGTTGCTCCTGGAGTGGTTTGAATGTGACCGACGCTAGCTATAATTCAATAAAATAGCCAAAATCAAAAATTTACCCATAAAATCTATCTAAAAGTAATGTATTTTGACTTAAATATGTTCCAATATGAAATATCAATCAATAAAACTCTGAAACATAATCTAATCTTTTAGATTTTCAGGTCCAATAGAGACTACTAGGGTCGAACCTTAAAAGCTACCTGAGATAGCAAAAAGTTTATGAAATGCTAATTTTTGAGTTTTAATAGTCATAACTATCATAAATCATCATAAAAAACCACAAATCAATACTTAAATTTGTATCTAAGTCATATTTCTACAAATGACGTTTTTGATATTTTTCTCAGTTTGGGGTCGCTCACAAACAAGGCACATAATCATGACTAAGATCATACCCAACCATCAAGTATTTTATATCATTGGAAAGATCTTGACTTGAACTATAACAAACTGAAAACAGATTTTAAAAATAATTTGTTTTCTTAAAACTGGAGCGTTTTAAGTAGTGGGAAAACCATACAAGTCGTCAGATATCAAATGTACCCAATATATCGACATATTTTAAACTTTTTGAAAAAATTTCTTTGCATGCTGTTTTTAAATGTCATTTTCTATTAGAAAACATTAAAAAAATATTTATAATTATTGTTTTGTAATTTTTATGAGAAATTTTTGATTTTGATCAAACATTCAACGGCTTACTAAAATCAATTTATCTCAAAAGTGTACCGGTCAAATTTTAATGTTTATACAGTTTTGAAAACTAGAAATCAAGGACTTTATGATGATATGGTTTTACCCCTTAAGTAGTCGTCATCTAAGATAGTTGCGGCGTGTTTGAAGATATTTTTCCTAGAATTTTCATACATTTACTAGCATATGAGTACAAAAATTTTATCGAAAAAAATTATGTACTTCACCAAATATAGTTCTTATATAGGACTACTTGAAACTGAAACCCGTTTTTTATTTTAATTAACCGTTGCAAAGAGTTTTGACTTCAAAGTTGGACTGAAAAAATCTGTTTTTTTTCCAATTTTCCGACTTCAAACAGCCATAAAATTGCAGGAACAGCACCAAATGACTTGAAATTTGGCATAGAAGTCAGGTTTTATGCACTCTACAAGAAAAAATTCACTTGAGAACGTAATTCGGAAAAGTCCCAAAATCAAAGTGAAAGTCCCTTTTTTTTCAATTTTGCCCCATAGTGGCATGTAGGGACTTAACATTCAAAGTACGTGCTTTATTTGGCATTATTAAGATGTTTGTATAAAAATTTGGTTGATTAATGTAGCTTAAAGTTGATTTTTTATCTGAAGCAAATACCGCAAAAAATAGATTTTTTACCCTAATCTTTGTGTAGATTAGATTTTCTATCTTCATGTAGAATCGATCTTTATGAAAAAAGTTTCTTAGCTAGAAAAAAACTATTGAAGAATCTACATTCTTCATCTAGTGTAGACATCTACATTTGCAACACTGTTCCTGTCTCTAGCTGATTATACATATATTAATCGAATAAACAAGATGGGCCTCGTCACAAAAAAATTGTACGTGAGTGACGCTTTGTTATTCTTGATTATCTCCTTATCCTTAAAAGTGACAAATTTAAGAGTACTTTTTTGAAAAGAGAATTAAAATCCCAATCTATTTTTGGACAATTCACATCATGAAAGTTTACAGTTAATCGAAAAAATCACTTTAACTAGGCGTCACTCACGTACAATTTTTGGGAATTTTGATATATCTTCAAATGTATTTTTTTAGGTCCAAAATTCAATTCTGTTCTTTTTGAATTTATAAAAAATTTAAAATTGCTGCATTAACATACCCAATTGGACAAAATTAAGTTAAAAATTTTTTAACGGTTTTAAGTTTTTTGAATTTTTTCGGTTGTAATTTGTTTGTTTACAAACAAAATCGAAAATGAAATTTGAAAAGTCACGAAAATATCACTCAATAATAATGTAAAAGCTCTTAAAATATTCGGAACAGCTAATACATCATCTATTTATCGTATTCAAATCATAATATTTGGGATTAATGATTAAATAATTAAGAATTTTGAGAATTCAATTCTTGATGTTTTGTATGATAGTGTTAGTAAAAAATTCAAATTATTTTTTTTCGTTAAGCAAAAATCCTTTAAAAAACGTCGAGGCCCAGATCAAAAAACAGTCCTTTCACACGTGAAAAAGGTGTGATATAAAAACTGAAATTGGAATAGAAGTTAAGTCACAGAAACACGGACGGTCATGATTATAAGTGTTCTAAAAGAAGTTGAAAATTAATTAAATTTAAAGTATAAATAAAAGTGTTTAAATGAATTTTAAATTAATCTTAACAAACTTTAAGAATAATGATGGTTTTATGATTTATTAATGTTTCAGTTTTATTTGAATAAAAAAACTTTAACTAAAACATTTTTTTAAATAACTTGCTTCTCTTCATGAATAGGAGTTGTTGCAGCGGTATTACTATTTGAGTCTAATACGTCATGAAAGCTTTGCACAGATCCAGATCGAGATGTTGAAACTTTAGTCTAGATTTCAAATTTTAAAAAGCATTCTCTTACTGTAATTAAAGATCAAAAATTTAAATATATTAAAATTACCTTTACACTTTCGTACGCCCCGCCAACTTTTCCTTCAAATGTTTTAAATGATTCCGAATTTTTCATTTGATTGATCTTAGTTGAAAATCCAGAAAATAATGATGTTGTTTTCTCAGCAGTCGTTTTCAAAACTGATTCTGTTTTATGGTAACTAAGAAAAATATAAAAGTTGTATTTTTCAATCTTCAATAATTCTTTCGCCTAAATGAAAATGTATTTAATCCTTTTTGACGGTATTTCTAGTCCATTAAATTTGCTTATGTGACAGTTTTCCTGACTTATTTAGATGCTAAGAAATATTCTGATAGATTTTTATTCAAGCTTTTTAACGATACCATATTTGGATATAAATATTTGACAAATGTTATGTCATTGACGAGAAATAGCTTCAAAATCAATTTAAGCAAATTTCATTTAGACGAGCTAAAGCGAGGCGTGGAAACTCAAGATTAATCCTGAATAATTCTTAAAGTCCTTACAAATCCCCGAGCACTATGCATTATAAGGAGAAGTAGAGAATCGCCTCTAAATTCCTTTTACATTCAAAATTATTTATCAAATGTTTAAGGGATTTAAAATTTTCTTGCATTTAAGTTTCCACGCCCTAAGCTCAATTGAGCGTTCATAATTAAAGACCCAAAATTTTTTGGTTTAACAATTGACAAAATTAATGTCCAAAAATAAAAGATTTTCCAGGAAAAAAAACATAAATATGATTTGAACTTCAACCTCAAAAATGGTTACGTACCTTTTAGATAACCTTGAATTTTTAATTCTGCAGTCAGTGTTAATAAAGGTATGATTAATTAATCTGATTGCGAATTTTATTGACTACTAAATATCAATGTGATTTAATATACAAAAATTAAGGAGTTTTAAAAAGCACTTTTAAGGGCAATTCTTTTGATGAATTTTTAAAAATTTCACTCTTTAGTCAATAATTCGATGAAAGAAATCGGCATTTTTAATTTCCATCATCCAAAGAATCGAAAATTAAAGATAATTATTGGTATCCATATTGCTTTTCTGTATGCTTTAAGTCATTAATTAATAATATATTTTAAATCATTGAAATTAGTCTAAATCCATGATGAAATCAGATGGGGGAAAGAGCAAAAATTCATGAAAAAAAACTCTGAAAATGTTTACTCTGATCGATTTTCAAGTACTCCACATGAATGCGCCCACGTTTTAAGATGTAGAACTATACGATATGGTCAAAGTGAACAAATTTGCAATTCATGTATGGTCATGACTCTCAATTTTTCAAACCAATTTCCTTTGAACCCAATAAAAAAGTTATTTTCTACTTTTTAGTCCACGGGTAAAAATGTGGTTTTTTGAAAAGTTTTTTTATAACGTATTTTATTCTACATTTTAGTTTTAAAAAATTATTTAAAGTATCCATCGACTAGCTGTGCTATCGCACAGCATAAGTTTGTGAACTAGAATTTAACCATTGAAAGTCTCCATCGATCAGCTGTGCTATCGCACAGCATAAGTTTGTAAACTAGAATCAAATAATTGAAAGTCTTCATCGATCAGCTCTGCTATCGCACAACATAAGTTTGTAAACTAGAATTTATCCATTGAAAGTCGTATAACGTATTTTTAGTGATTCAAACTTATAACGGCTTTTTGAAATTTAAATTGGAGCAGTAGAAGTGGTCGAAAAATCGATCGCAAGATTTGACCAAGACAAGCAAAAAGACAAAAAGACAGAAAGACAAGAAAGCAAGTTAAGATAAGAAATAAGAAAAACATGGTAATAAAAAACGTGGTAAAAAAAACGTGGTAATAAGAAAAAAAAAGAAAAAAATGTGGTAATTAATGATCTTCTAATCTTCTAATGATCTGTAAACGAACGCAAAATAATTAGATAATCAAATACTGATCACTGCGTCAAAAATGCGCTGAAGTCCCTCGATCAATAACACGACGACTTTTGTATTTTTTTTTTCTATTTTAGGACCACACTGCTCTAATTATCGTTTACTAAGCATGGATGTTCGTGGGTTTCTTCGTAACTCGTATTTTTTAAATTAAAATATATAAAAATTGTATTTTTTACAATCACTGGAATCAAAAATGTGTCCAAAACTTCTACAATTAAACTCAGTATTCCACTTTTTGTAACGGACCAACACTAACAAACATGTGCAATGTTTCGTTAACTATCGCATAAAGAAGATAGAAACAACGAAAATTCAATCCGTGGAAATGCCCAATTATGATAGTTAGACTGAGAGTAACATTTTCAAAACAAATTTTTAAAAAACAACGTTAAATGATTTAACTTACACATTAGTATCTCGCATATTTTTAATTCCAGAAGAGACATCTGCTTGAATTTCCTTCCAGACTGTAACGCCTAGTTTTCGCTTTAATTCAGTTGAATGATAAATTTTTGAACTTAACACTGTTCTTAAAGTATTAATCTCTTCTTCAACTCGCTGCAATTCAGTTCTCCATTCTTCACGTTGTCTTTCCTGATCTTCTAAAGATAAATTGGCAAAATCATTAATTGCTTCAGTGGCTGAGCTAATTGACCCTATTGATCCAGAAGGAGATGCATCCGATAAATCTTTTAAAGAAAAATAATTGATTGTATTTTTATTTTTTTGAAAAAACTAGGAACTACAAAGAATTTCTCTTAGAATAAATAATACTTTATAAAAAAAACTTTTTAAAAAAACTACGTTTTTCGCGTAGACTAAAAAGTAGAAAATAACTTTTATTCTTGGTTGTAAAGAATTTGGTTTTAAATTTTCAGATTATATTTAATAAATTTTTATATCCTAGTCAATATTGTTCACAAAGTTTCGAATAAGTGCACTTTGATCTTAGCGTATAACTCAACAACTTAAAAACGTGGGCGCATTATAAGAGGAGAAGTAAGTTTATGTGAAATCAATACTTCATGATAAACTTAAATTAATGCGCCCACGTTTTTAAGTTGTTGAGTTATACGCTAAGATCAAAGTGCACTTATTCGAAACTTTGTGAACAATATTGACTAGGATATAAAAATTTATTAAATATCATCTGAAAATTTAAAACCAAATTCTTTACAACCAAGAATAAAAGCTATTTTCTACTTTTTGATCTACGCGAAAAACGTAGTTTTTTTAAAACGTTTTTTTTAATAAAGTATTTTATTTTCTACTTTTTAGTCTTATTCTAATGAAATAGAGAAACAAAGATTATAGGGGGTTTATAGGTTCATAACGTGTGGATTCTTAACATAAAGATGCAAATCACATATGTAACGTATTTATAACGGATTTTCAAATTTAAATTCAATGAATATCATTTATATGTTATGCAAAAATACGTCAAGCCGTTAATTAAAAGAAAAGTCAATTTAATTAAGTTGGTGAAATGTTATAAATAATGCAATACATTTAAAACAGCATAAATTTATGCTCAAACTATGTGTGCTAAATGCACATTGCATATTAATAGTTATTTTGCATTAATTCGTAACGGACTTGTGCTTAACGGTTTTTTTGAAAATTCAAATTTTCACTTACGAATATTCATGAAAAAATTACTTGTCAATTTTTTTTGTCCTACCAGAATATCTTTAGCTGCTCAAATTTATAGTTTAATTAATAATTAGTAATATTATTTAAACTATAATGAATCATATAAATGACTTTAGAGCATCACAAGTATAATATTTAATACAAATCAAAATTTTATATCATTGACATTGGATTTTTTCCCATATAAAAAAGTTTTACATAAATTGTACTATAATTAAGCATTTTTGTGTTTCCAAAGTAATAAAATATTATATTGTCACCGGGAATACGTGTGCATTAAAAATTTGAGCTCGATTGGAGCAGTAGAAGTGGTCGAAAAATCGATTACAAGATTTGCCCTCGACAATCAAACAGATAAGAAAGCAAGTTAAGAAAAACGTAGTAAAAAAACGTAGTAATAAAATCAAACAGATAAGAAAGCAAGTTAAGAAAAACGTAGTAATAACGTAGTAATAAAACGTAGTAATAGTAAAATAATACACAATGTAATGCATAATTTAATTCGCACAACTTTTATTTTTAAAGTCCCTTATTATCATTTTTTTAATTGATTTTAATTTTTAGATTATTTTTACTACGTTTTTAATCTACTTCTTCTTTTAAGAATTTTTAAACTAAAATTTACTACATAGTTTTTAGGAGATTAGGATTAATTAAATCTTTAATTTTTTCTAGTCATTTTCTGACTTTTTGACAGAACGGATGAGTCATCCATAATCTATGATACATTCATGTTGTATTACGTATATAAAATATTATTCAAAGAACAATTAAAGTTATCAAAATCAATTAAAATATGAATTTTTTTTTAATTTAATTACTTACATGTAGGTGATTTATCCATATTTAAAAAATATGTGTAACGATACAAATGTAAAGAAACTTTCTTCTATCTAACGAAATGTCTAAGTTATTCGTTGTCAATGATTAAATTATTTTTAAAGAATTAATAGTAAAAATTTTTAGTTTTTATTTGAACATAGTTCAGATAAGTTTCACTTTTAACAAAAAAAAAATGTCACTTTGTCAAAATGTGTGAGATAGTTTAATGAAATTAATTTTACAGAGGCGTATATGTATACTTTTAAAACTTTTTTCGGAATTTTATTAAATATCTTAGTAAACTTTAATTTTTAATAAAAAGAAGTTTGTTTTTTAGTTAAGATTTTAAAATAAACTTTTCAATTCATTAAATGAATTTTGAAGTTTTTCGATGGAAATATTTTTGAAGGGAAAAATCTACGCTAGAATTTTCGCGCCTCACGCATAAAATATTAGCTTTGTTTAAAAAAAATCATTTAAAATCTCTATTTAAATAAATATTATATATTCTTTAAACTCGAACTTATTTACAATAAGCTAAAATCTATCAAAAAATTATGGAAAAAGAACCGTTTTTCGATGAAATTTGCTCCAAATTAAATATTGATTCTGTTGTAAGAAAAAATGCATATTTACAATTTAAAGAAGTGTCCAAAAATACTATTCTCAATGTAAGTAAAACTGAATTGTAATTGAAATATTATCATTTTAAAATTAACATTTGTACGTTTTAGGGAGATATTAAACATTGGATTTGCTGCGCAATTTTTACTGCTTGTTCAAAGACAAAAATTCCTACTGTGTCAATTTGTGAAAATTTTGTCCAAGGAAATGGAATTTCGCTTGTAAAGTTAATAAATGAATGCAATTTGAAGTAAGTTAAATGAAAGTAAATTTATTTAATCCAAAATGATGTTTGTATTTTGAATTTTTAGCATTTTCTCATTTTTTGAAAAAATTGAAATTTGGTTAAAAGTTTCATCAGTGCCGAATGTTATCTCACAAAAAGTAGAAACTTTAAAGAGAAACTTTCAACTTTCACAGCTAATATACAAGGAATTCAGTAATATGTTTACTAAACTTTTTCATTGCAACGATCAATTCTTAAAAGATGATGTCAACATTACAAAGAATAAAAAGAAAACCAAGTATGTTTATAATTTTACAATATATCCTTCCTTGAATCAAGGTATTTGTTTTCTATTAAAATAAGAAATTTTGCAATTGTGACTTAAATATAACCGAGTGGAACGATTGACACGAAATAAAGTAAATTACTATACGTAGGGACGACTTATGATAATTTTTAACGAGCGTTCCAAACTTTATTCATTTACTAGACATCATGTCAAGTGTTCCACTATAAATATTCAGACCGTTATAAGCAAGTTTCCTGTCATTTAGAATTCATGCTGTAGATATATTTGAGAATTTAAACAAATATCTTGTGTTATAGATGTCGAATTCAATGGAGCGAAATCAGTTCACTTCACTTAAAATTTCATCGTTTTCAAGCTGACTCGAGTGAACACAGAAAAAAATCATATTCACTCGAGTCGACTTGAAACCGATTGAATTTTTGAGTGAAGTGAAGTGAATCGACATCACTTCACTGACTTTGACCTTTGCTTTGGGCCAAAAAATTACTGTGAAATAATAATAATTTTTTTAAATTTTTTTAACAGTTCAGTACCATATTCAGCACAAAATCTATTCGAGATGTGCTGGACCTTATATATCTGTATCAAAGGATACTCTCCTGTTGATAAACCAAATGATCTAGTAGCTTCAATTCATTTGTTAACATGTTGTATAAATTTTATATTTGAAAACACAATTAACGATAATCGAAGAGATCTTATAAATTCTTCGTTTCCTGGACTACCAAATGACTTTTTTTCTCCATCATTTGATTCAACTAATGAACAGTTTCCCATAATAGAAAATTTGTGCGACGATAAATTTATTGCAAGCAAAACCAATCATTATGAGTTTAGTATAAAACATTTTCTTTCTGAAAGACAAATGCATGGGGTTAAAAACGATTTTTTATCTGTGGACAAATTTGACAAAAACTTTAAAAAACTTAATGAACTGTATGAGATATTAATTTTAACTTGTGGACAATTCGATGAGCGTATATTTTTGTCGCATCCCGATATTGGATCGAAGTTTTATGGGAAAAGCATTTCTCTTCATAATACACAACTTATAAATTCAGCAGCTTTAATACCACAAACTCCTTTATCAGGTCAAGAGTTGTCGTATAATGTAGCTAATAAACTGTCTCCAATTTCAAGTTATAAACAAAATGTGCAAAAATTGCAAGCATTATGCAATAGCACAACATATCCCCAAAATTCTTTAAAAATTTTGCTATGTTCCTGCTCAGATTCTATTTTAAATAATCTTGAAGAGAGGCTCAAGAAAATGAAAGAAATATTCTGTAACAAGATGGGAAACAGCATTGATCGTTTTCAAATTGCCGAAATTCTCTATTTTCGATTATTAGAAAATATAATTCATGCAGAGATAAAAACTCATGGGAGGTTTGATTTGTTTATTAGAGATAACGATTTCAACAAAACTCTGATAGTTTTATGCTTGGAGATAGTTCTGTTTGCATTTTCTCTTCATAGAAAACTAACGACACTCTTAGAATTTTTTAATTTAGAAGCTTTCCATTTCTACAAGTTAATTGAAGTTGCAATAAGAAACAACAAAGATTATTTTACTAATGACATGATTAAACATTTGAAAGCTATTGAAGAACAATGTTTAGATTCATTGGCATGGTCTTCGGGATCATTACTTTGGGAAAAAATACAGGAGTACAACAAAAAATTACCTAACAGTCATGAAGTTGATACAAGTTTACAAAGCACAAGCAGCCCAAACAATAACCAAACTCCAAGAAGTATAAGATTATTTTTACGGAAATTTTATCAACTAGCACATTTGCGGTTAAAAGATCTTTGCAAAAACCTACAATTTACAAATAATTCGGAATTATTGCGAAAGATATGGACCTTATTTGAATATGCTATGTTGGAACATACAACTTTAATAAAGGATAGACATTTGGATCAAATCCTAATGTGTTGTGTATATGTTCTGTGCAAAATTCGGGTGAGAAATTGATAATTATCCTTTTGTAACAAACTTTTTAGAAACTTTTTAAATGCTTTTATTTTTCCAAATAGCCTAATGAAAATCGACACACATTTGCTGACATAATGAAATTTTACAGAAGTCAACCTCAAGCAGATTCTCACATTTACCGTAGTGTTTTTATTGAATATATGCAAAATGATAAAGCTGATGAAATATTTGAAAGTCAATTAAGTAAATCTAAGGCTACAGAACCAGAAGTTGTATGCGGGAGGAATACAATATACGGCAAAGAATCAAGAGGAGATATTATTTATTTTTATAACAAAGTATTTGTTCCAAAGATGCAACAATTTGCCATGAGATTTTCAACGTCATCGCAAGTATGTGCTTAAAACAACTAAATTGTCATATTTTTAAGTATTTTTTCTTTTTAAGAATAACTTACTGCTATCTCCTTTGCCCCATTCAAAACCTTCGATCTCACCAAGGAAAGTTTCACCATACCATGACGTTTATGTACAACCATTGATAAAACAAAGTATTCTTTCTCCATCAGCACAAACTTTAACTTTCACGATTGAGCAAAGCCCTTCAAAGGTGTGTATTTTAGAAATACATATATATTACATAAAAAACATAAAAACTCATGTCATAAAACTCTGTGTAAATTCCAGGATCTTCAAAAAATCAATTCAATGATTAATCAAAATCGAAAGGGTTCAGTTGCAAAACGATTTAACATGGACTGCGATTTTGCATCAAATAAAGTCTCTAAAGAGTCATCATTACATCTTCTTATTTCCGATCGTCAAGAGGTCCATAACTAATTTTAATTCATTTAACATAAAAAAACCGAAATTCTTTATTTCAATATACATAATTACTTTTAATTGAAAAAAGTAATCAGTTCAAATAATTTTTTAAAACATTGTTTAGTTTTTTTTTATAGTAACCATTGATTTAATGTAATATAAACGACAACTCAAAGCTTCATTTAGAAGCCATTTGAAGCATCGTGTCGTTGCCTACTTTGTGTTGTTCGAAATAATTATTTTACACGATTTAATATTAAAATATAAAATTAATTAATGAGATTAAAACTCATAAATAATAAATATAAATTTCATTTTGAAACCAGTTTGTATCGCTTTCATTGAAAAATAATATGCTTATATCAATTTTGACTGGCTGGTTTGGTGCGACGAGTGCCTTGAAGAGGAAGTACTTGGAGATTTCTAATTTAAGCTGCTAATTCATTTGTAGTTTTTTTTATGTAAATTTTGTTTGTTAAATTATAAGTGCATATTTAAGCAAAAAAAATTACAAAAGTCCTCGTGTTATTGATCGAGGGACTTCAGTTCATTTTTGACGCAGCGATCAGTATTTGATTATGTAATTATTTTGCGTTCGTTTACAGATCATTAGAAGTTTAGAAGATTATTCATTTGAGTGTAATTAACAAATAATTATAATGAGGGCTTATTTAGAAAGGCTTTATTATTTAACGGTCAATAAATAATTTGAAATATTTCCGTTAAAAGTTGCACTACAAAAACATCAATTATAGTATAATTAAATAATTTGTTCCAATGAATTTCCATACTGAAAAAATTTATCATTTAACGAGAGTTCAAAGCCCCTCGTGCATAAACGTGTGGAAAAATTTCATTTAATTAATTAAATAGTCTCAAAGTTATTTATAGTTGTTTAAACTATTTATTTAAGTACACGGTGCTGTCTGCTGCCCTTTGGGAATGAAGAGACGCAAAAGGAAGCAGGATTTAAGTCCAAAAATGGACTTTGATGAAATCCCGAGTGGATCAAAACAAAATCTCAAGAAACAAAGAAAACAAGTTCCAGAAAAAAAAAAACTCCACGGCGGAACCTGAAGTTCCAGTAACAGCTGCAAACCTTCGATCTCACCAAGGAAAGTTTCACCATACCATGACGTTTATGTACAACCATTGATAAAACAAAGTATTCTTTCTCCATCAGCACAAACTTTAACTTTCACGATTGAGCAAAGCCCTTCAAAGGTGTGTATTTTAGAAATACATATATATTACATAAAAAACATAAAAACTCATGTCATAAAACTCTGTGTAAATTCCAGGATCTTCAAAAAATCAATTCAATGATTAATCAAAATCGAAAGGGTTCAGTTGCAAAACGATTTAACATGGACTGCGATTTTGCATCAAATAAAGTCTCTAAAGAGTCATCATTACATCTTCTTATTTCCGATCGTCAAGAGGTCCATAACTAATTTTAATTCATTTAACATAAAAAAACCGAAATTCTTTATTTCAATATACATAATTACTTTTAATTGAAAAAAGTAATCAGTTCAAATAATTTTTTAAAACATTGTTTAGTTTTTTTTTTATAGTAACCATTGATTTAATGTAATATAAACGACAACTCAAAGCTTCATTTAGAAGCCATTTGAAGCATCGTGTCGTTGCCTACTTTGTGTTGTTCGAAATAATTATTTTACACGATTTAATATTAAAATATAAAATTAATTAATGAGATTAAAACTCATAAATAATAAATATAAATTTCATTTTGAAACCAGTTTGTATCGCTTTCATTTAAAAATAATATGCTTATATCAATTTTGACTGGCTGGTTTGGTGCGACGAGTGCCTTGAAGAGGAAGTACTTGGAGATTTCTAATTTAAGCTGCTAATTCATTTGTAGTTTTTTTTATGTAAATTTTGTTTGTTAAATTATAAGTGCATATTTAAGCAAAAAAAATTACAAAAGTCCTCGTGTTATTGATCGAGGGACTTCAGTTCATTTTTGACGCAGCGATCAGTATTTGATTATGTAATTATTTTGCGTTCGTTTACAGATCATTAGAAGTTTAGAAGATTATTCATTTGAGTGTAATTAACAAATAATTATAATGAGGGCTTATTTAGAAAGGCTTTATTATTTAACGGTCAATAAATAATTTGAAATATTTCCGTTAAAAGTTGCACTACAAAAACATCAATTATAGTATAATTAAATAATTTGTTCCAATGAATTTCCATACTGAAAAAATTTATCATTTAACGAGAGTTCAAAGCCCCTCGTGCATAAACGTGTGGAAAAATTTCATTTAATTAATTAAATAGTCTCAAAGTTATTTATAGTTGTTTAAACTATTTATTTAAGTACACGGTGCTGTCTGCTGCCCTTTGGGAATGAAGAGACGCAAAAGGAAGCAGGATTTAAGTCCAAAAATGGACTTTGATGAAATCCCGAGTGGATCAAAACAAAATCTCAAGAAACAAAGAAAACAAGTTCCAGAAAAAAAAAACTCCACGGCGGAACCTGAAGTTCCAGTAACAGCTGCAAAGGCTGAAAAGCCTTTGTTCATCCAGCAAAATATTAATGAAGTGAGAAAAATTATTTCACAAATCAATTTGCAGGTTAAGCCTGCATTTAAAATTTCATCAGCGGCTACAACACAAGTCATAGTCAAAAATGTTAAGGACAAGGCCTCAATAATCAGCGTATTGCGGTCTCAATGCATCCCATTTCACACTTTCTCCGAGAAATCGGAGAAAACAAAGTCATTCGTTCTGAAAGGATTTTACGAAACACCAACGAATGAAGTACTAAGATTACTTCAAGAAGCCAAGGTTTCAGCTGTCAAAGTGACAATTCTCGTCAAGAAGCCCGAGTTCACCTTTTATCTTGTGCATTTTCAAGATGAAAGTGTGAACATCAACGTGCTCAATCATAACCACCGTAACATCGACAACATCATCGTCAAGTGGGAGAACATCAAGAAGGGCAACAAAAGCCCAACGCAGTGCTTCAACTGCCAACGTTGGGGTCACTCATCTCAAAATTGTGGATATAAGTTCCGATGCGTCAAGTGCACGGAAGTTCACAGACCAAATCAATGTCAACGATCCACTCGTGATGGAAATGCCAAGTGCATTAATTGCAATGGCGATCATGCTGCCAGTTATAGACTGTGCCCATCGTTCATTTCGTATTCCAAAAGAATCGAAAAGTCAAGAGCCAAACCACAACTCAAAATGCTGCCACAGATATCGAGTCTTTTGGACAGTAACAATTTTCGTTAAGCAAACGACATGAAGTTTCTGCTCATTCACATCCAGTGAATGCTGCAAGTAACTCATCAGCAACATCTCAAGAAGAGATTAATCAGCAACAACTGATCAATAATATCAGTTATGCAGAGAAACTCAACGAAGCAGTAAAGAATGAGAGCCTTTTCAAGAAATTCACAGAAGCTCAAGAACGTCTAAAGAGAATCCCCAACATTGAAGAAGCAATAAATTAGTTCTGCAGTTTCGTCGACGAAGCCGGAAAGATCCCAAAGGATGCATTTCAAGGAACTGCATTTAAACTCATGGTGAAGTATGGCTTCATTGGCTGCCCTCCAGCACCAAACAATCCAGTTCAAAAATAATTTATTAACGTAGTTCATAAGCTTAAAAAAAGCTTTTTTTTTTCTCGCTCGGCAACTTTTTTAAACTTTTTATGCCACATTTTCATGATATATGTAAATCTCATTCATCAAAATTAATAATTAATCAAGATATAGTTGAATTAAAGCCGTATTCAGGCTGGTGTCAAAATAAGACTCAAAGAAATGTAACTTAAACTACAATAATTTCAAATTTGAAATAAAGAAAGGTTATTATCATTTGACTTAACGGAAATGTGAGCAAAACTGAGCAAAAAATTAGCTTAACACGTGAAATTTGATTGTAACGGTTTATTTTTGTTCTAAATTTTATTGTGGAGAACTCTCAGAAATTGCAAAGGTTTTTTATGCCTTTTCAACTAGTTTAAGTACTAGTTTAGGAGGCTTTTTCCCTTGTAAGAGAGTAAAAAAAAAAGAACAGTAGCTAAAACAAATGTATAAAATGTGTATAATAATTTAGCCAATTCAATAAAGAATGACAAATACGTCATCATTATTGAAATATGAAAAAAAAAAAAAAAAAAAACGGTTTTTGAAATTCAAATTTTACAACGGCTAGAAAAAATTTTAAATTATAGAGGTAATGTTGAATTTTTTAAACGTACTCATCACGTGGTTTTGTTTATGATATAAAAAAATCATTAATTATAGTAAAAATACACTGCTTTAAGACTTTTAACTGTTCGATCGGACAATAAACAACAGTAACGGTGCTAATAAAACAAACCTGAGTTCTCTACACCTCAATCTAAAAATTCCTAAAATGCAGATAGTACTGCCAAGATGCAGATGGTACTGCTAAAGTGCAGATCAAATTTATTTTCCCTAAGATGCAGATGAAATGCTGTTGCTTTAAAAAATACTTTATAAAAAAAAACTTTTTAAAAAAACTACGTTTTTCGCGTGGACTAAAAAGGAGAAAATAACTTTTCTTCTTAGTTGCAAAGAATTTGGTATTAAATTTTCAGATTATATTTGATAAATTTTTATATCCTAGTCAATATCGTTCACAAAATTTCGAATGAGTTCACCTGGATCTTATCGTATAACTCAACAACAAAAAACGTGGGCGCATTTTAAGAGGAGAAATATGTTCATTTGAAATCACTACTCTATGATAAACTTAACTTAATGCGCCCACGTTTTTTGTTGTTGAGTTATACGATAAGATCCAGGTGAACTCATTCGAAATTTTGTGAACGATATTGACTAGGATATAAAAATTTATCAAATATAATCTGAAAATTTAATACCAAATTCTTTGCAACTAAGAAGAAAAGTTATTTTCTCCTTTTTAGTCCACGCGAAAAACGTAGTTTTTTTAAAAAGTTTTTTTTTATAAAGTATTTTATTTTCTACTTTTTAGTCTTGTTCTAATGAAATAGAGAAATAAAGATTATAGGAGGTTTATAGGTTACAGGTGTGTTGAACTCCACTTCGTTTCACTTCGTTACGTTCAACTGTTTATAGATTACAGTAGGTTTATAGGTTACAGGTGTGTTGAACTCCACTTCGTTGCACTTCGTTACGTTCAACTGTTTATAGATTACAGTAGGTTCATAGGTTACAGGTGTGTTGAACTCCACTTCGTTGCACTTCGTTACGTTCAACTGTTTATAGATTACAGTAGGTTCATAGGTTACAGGTGTGTTGAACTTCACTTCGTTGCACTTCGTTACGTTCAACTGTTTATAGATTACAGTAGGTTCATAGGTTACAGGTGTGTTGAACTCCACTTCGTTGCACTTCGTTACGTTCAACTGTTTATAGATTACAGTAGGTTCATAGGTTACAGGTGTGTTGAACTCCACTTCGTTTCACTTCGTTACGTTCAACTGTTTATAGATTACAGTAGGTTCATAGGTTACAGGTGTGTTGAACT